GGTTTTTTCAATGCGGCGTACAACGGACAACGGACAACGCATATAATCGGTACTTGACAGGCCCACCAAATGGTCCGGCGCGGCGGACCCACATCTCCGAGTCTCTTATCTCTTATCGCAATGGAAGAGGCAGAAAATTTCTAGCAACTTTATCCTTAAACTCGTCTATCAACGATCATCACCACAATGGCGACAAAGGAAAAGAAAGAGAAGAAACCGAAAACTTCTAGGTCGGAATTGAAGGCCGAGAACCCCGAGAAGGCAACCACAATTGAGAGGGTCGAATCGACAGAAGCTGTGGAGATGGCAGAGTCTGAAGCCGACGTATCTTCTTCCAAGCGCAAGATCGAACTCGAAGAAATCGAAGTCGACGTAGACGCACCCGAGCCCCCGTCCAAGCGTGCAAAGCGTGCTCTCAAAAAGGGGAAGTCATTACCCTCTAAACAGGATAGCGATGATGAGAAAAAGGGCGATAAAGATGGCAAGGATAAGAAAGCCGCTCGGTCAGAGCACAGTGTCTGGATCGGCAACTTGCCATTTCATGTCACGGCTACAGATCTGCGCAAGTGGCTCGCCGATAACTCCGGAGGCGTCATCACTGAAGAGATGATCACTCGGGTCAAGCTACCAACCAACAAGGAACCTGGCCGGGATAAGAGCGTCAAACCAGCAAACAAGGGGTTTGCCTACGTCGATTTTACAGAAATCGGTCCTAAAGTCTCCGCTATCTCTCTGACCGAGAGTGACCTTGGTGGTCGAAAACTTCTCATTAAGGATGCGACATCGTTTGAGGGTCGACCCAAAAAGGAGCCTGAGTCCACAGAAGAGAACGCCAATGAGGGAAAGACCAGCAAGGAGCAAAAGCAAGATGTCAATGCCAGTCGCAAGATTTTCGTGGGCAATATGAGCTTCAAAACAACTGAGGACGACCTATACAGAAACTTTGAGAAGTGCGGCGAGATCGAATGGGCCAAGGTTGCGACCTTCGAGGATACTGGAAAGTGCAAGGGGTTTGGTTGGGTCAAGTTCCAGGACCCCAATGCTGCTGTATGGGCCGTCAAAGGTTTCGTCAAAATTAAAGAGGCAGTCGACACAGAGGACGATTTCAAGGACGATGAGGAGAAGGACAAGTCGCAGCAGAAGCAGTTCAAGACACGCAAGTGGTGGGTAAACCGAATGCTAGGTCGCGAGCTTAAGGTGGAGTTAGCCGAGGATGACCAAGTACGGTACAAGAAGCGGTTCGGCAAGGATCGTAAGGCACTTCCCGACACGGACAGTAACCCACGAGGTCGACCTCCGCCGCGTAAGTATGATCAAAGGAATGGCGCAGTGCGGGAGAGTAATGATGTCCATGGGGAGGCTGCGAAGCCGCTCAAGGAAGCTGAGGATATATCTGTTGCGAGACTGACGGGCGCGGTTGTGAAGCATACGGGTACGAAGATGACCTTTGACTAAGTACAGCGATATACATTCCATGTTCCGAGATACCCATTCATAGTTGCAATGGTCCCTTGCATCCGATGTGAAAAGATGTATTCATCCTGAGTGAGACTTATCCTTACGCGTGGGGACTCTTTCGACTTAGTCGTTCCGTTCCGTTATAGATCCGGAGGCTTGGTGCAATTTCCCCGCATTCATATTCCAGCGATCTCAGTCATTCAATGAGTGCCAAATACAAGAGATACAATATTCATTCGCCTCCTATCGCATTTCATTATGTACCAGTCTCAAATCACTTTCGTCATGGACACCATTTGTCCCTGGTATGATAACTTGTCGAAAAGAAAGACAATCATGGCTAATGCATCTCAGGACATACCTTGGAAAGAGGAGGTAACATCTCCCATCTTTATTCGGCTCACCTTGACTTTAATAACCATTTGAGGTTTCGACTACAGACTCGATGAGGCTCTGGCTCAGTTCCGCTCCTCAAATTCTTCATCCTCCATCTCCTTCAAGCTCCATTTCGCATCTTATCAGCCTAATGCCAACCGTCCTGAGACCATCCCGGACCGAGCTGCATATGCCCTACACAAGAAGCATAATGACAATCGAGAGGCTCAGAAAATCTTCGAAGAGCATATGCTCTCCCTTGCGCAACCACTGAAACTTCCCATAGCCTTTACGGGACCGACTGGTAACTCATTTCCTGGACATCGGGTCATCCAACAAGTTCAGGAGTCCCAGGGCGCTGAAGTAGCGAACAAGCTCGTGGACGCAGTGTTTAGGTTGTACTTTGCGGAAGGCAGGCATCCCGGTTCTGACGATATGTTGATCGAGGCATGTGTCGATGCTGGTATAGATGAGGGAATGGCAAAAAGCTTGGTGGAAGATAAGTCCAGAGGTGAAAGGGATACCAAAGAAAAGATCAGAAGTACAGGTATGGATATCGATGCCGTGCCGACTGTAGTCATTGAAGGGCGAAGGAGGGACTTGACGCTCACGGGCCTGAAAGAAGTCTCGGAGTATATCAAGGCCATGGAGACAATAAGGAAGGAAAGTTCATAGTTAAGCATGCTTATAATGAGAGGCAACAAAGGCATTTGTCATAATATAATATTCGTATTCAGGGGAAAGAAATACTGATAGTAAATACATCAAGAAACGAAGGACATGGTATCGTTATTACAAGAGTGTTCCCACTATTTCCAGGAGCTCGCCATCATTTCATTCATGTTTCTCGTACTGCGTTCAGCTCATGAGCGACTGAACATCAGGGGTACTAATACACTCCGACTCTCCAGTGCTCTTCGATCCTCCATGACCATGCTGGGGCCAAATGCCGTACCAATATCCCGGCCTGCCAGAAAGCGACATGCGTTGGCTTCGCCGACGCGAGGTTTCTTGGTATGGCAGAACTCGCGGCTCAGCTTGGACAGGACAGCGGCCTTGGCCTTTTGCAAGGCGCTCACTCTCGCGACAGCATCTTCAGCTAGAAGACGGTGCGCCTCTTCCTGCTCTATGTTGCGCTGAACGGGAGAAATGCCTTCATCCGGGTCTCGACGGGCATTCTTCCTTGCGGTTGGGTCATAAGTTGTGGGTTGTAGTAGCACAGGCTGGGGATCACTGATCAAGATGGGGGCGGTGATGTTGGGGACAGGAGTTGAGGGGCGGAGGATTGGTTCCTCCACAAAAGGTTGGAATCGAGGACGAGAAGTCTTGTGGCGGCGTGATAGGGAGTGTTGGGAGGACTTGGGTGAAGGAGACGGTGTTTCAGGGGCATCCTCAACACTGCTGCGATGCTTGCGTCTGCGGCGACGAGAGCGTTTCTTTCTCAGTTTTGTGCTGAATCCAGCATCTGATTCATATACAGGTACAGGAGACCCATCATTGGCCGTGATCTCTTCAGTAGGGTCATCAACGACTTCGTTTTCAATGTCACTGAAGGGGAAGCCACCGAGGTCCATGTCGAAGAGCTCACGACTAGCGGCAGTTACAGCAGCGCTTGGGCTAGGAAGATGTTCTGAGCTGGGGCTTGTGACAAGACTGTATTCCGATTGGGCAGCCATGCTGTTGCTTCGAGACCAGGAATCATCAGTGTCGATGGGCGCAAGGACATCGTCCCAATTACCATTATCAGCAAGAACGACACTCTCGAAGTCGAATTCTTTGACTGTTGGGCGGTGTGAGTTGATCAAGTTGCTGAGCTGAGGGGCATTCATAACAGCGTTGCGAACTTGGAGGTATCGCAATTTTGGGAAGTAAATAGCCCCCTTGCCAGGAGTCTCAGGTAAGGGAGACATGGGAGATGTAACCTCGTGGAAAAGTTTCTTGGAGGCACGGGGCGGTGAGAAGAGGGGGTCAGAAGCTAGAGCAACTGGGCAAGGCCCTTTGCGGCCAAGCCATGTGAAGGCGAACTTCTCTAGGTTGGGGGCAAATGTGCGGACGTATTCGTCCAAGATCTTCAAATGGTCACGACCTGGAGATGTTCCATAAAAGTCCCAAGCATCTACAGAGATGGAGAGCTTGTTGATTTGGCGCCAGCGTCTTCCAGCTGATGGGACTGTTCCAAAGCCGTTGACGTGACGAAGGTAGTTGAAAGCCGCAGGGTGCAGTTGAGAAAGGGACAGCTTGTGAAGCTTCTCTAGAGGTGCGCGCTCAAGGGAGATACGCAAGCTGATGAGAGCATAGTCGACAATGTCACGGCGATACCGCTCTCTAGGATCTTGGCCAGGACATCTGATAGTAAGATGGCGCATGTTGATTAGACTGCGCATGGCGTTGATAAAGCTAGGGACATTGGTGGCGGCATGGAAGAGAGGAGGATATTGCTGCGTAAGGATGTCACCAAGCTCAGCGTTGGCGTACTTAGGCCGAGAGAGAACAGAACCCATGCTCGTGTGAGGAGTATACAGGAAGAATATCTCGTTACCAGAAACTGGATGAATGAGAGGAGGAAGGAAAGTGGCCTCAGAATGGGGGAAGTAGAAGGTAAGATGCTCAATATGATGACCGATACGAGCGAGAGCAGCCACTCGAGCTGACTTGGTAAATGTCGAGGCTGAGAAGGAGATGTGTAGGCGGGTGAAGATACGCTTAGTAAGGAGGTTGCAGCAAGCCGATGAGGATTGACGGATGTTGCAGAGATCATTGGATGAGAGGTGAGGAAGAAGAGAGTCCTTAATGTGGTCACTTCTCAAGACGGCGAGAAACAATTGTTCTGTTGAGGAAGCCATTGTAATCGCATGTCGCGGAGGGCTTTAGCCTCGTAGATCCGTCGCTTATAATTGATAACTGCTGGTGCTGTCAAGTGCCGGCGTAATCAATGTTGTTGATGATGCAAAACGGTGTGATATCAATATTGTAGTCCAAGACGAGGTTGGATTTTCGTTGTACTTCGAGATGAGGGTTATTCAAACAACAACAATCAATAAAGAAAGGAGCAAGTAGGTAGATGAGGATAGTAGTCAATAATAATGGTCTGATAAGTCAACAATTTATAGAATGATACCAGGTTGATTTCTTAGTGAATCAAAAGGACAAAAGGATCGGGTCAGGCCATGAGCGCCGTGTCCGGGTGGTCGAGATATATCTGTCTCTGCCTCTGTCTGTCTCGCTGCGGTCCCCCAGATCAGCCTCGTTCTTTTTTGGCTTCAGAGGAAAAGAGAAAAATGGAAATTCCCCTTTCTCCAACTCCATTCTCTTGCTCTAGTGTCTCTGCCAGCTGCAGGTTCGTGCATTGGTCCTATCGCGAGATGGTCACCCTCTCCCAGCGACGACTGGCTGTCGGTGACTTAGAACTCGAATCACCCTGGTCGTGTCTAGATCGAGGTATCCATACTTTGTTCGCGTTGGACTGGACGTTGTATGACTGACCGACAACGCGTTGCGATCGCTTCATGATTGGTTGGCTCACCGTGGTTTGTTCTGCCGCTATCCTTGTTGCTGCAGATCTGCCGCGAGGGCACGATGGGAATCCTACTTTGAGAGTACTTTGCTGGCCTCGAGATCAGCAACCACTGGCGAGACCAGCTGCAAACTCTTTCAATGCAGATGCTTCCTATTTTGAATCTTGCCACGTCCATCAGGTCCACTCCTACACCCTTCCACTCCTTCAATGTGTGATTAAATCTTGGGTTCAGGCCTCCCACATTTTGAACGCAAGTATCCTGGGAGTACATCCCATGCCTCGGGTGTTTATCGATAGCGCTTCTAGATTGTGGAGATGGTCCCTCTGCCACGCTTTGGAAACATGCATATATCTTTCAACCAATCAATCGCGTGTCCAAGAACGCGATAGTCGCGTTGTTTCAATCATGCCTGTCGCGCTCTGATTGGCTATTCTGACAACACTCAACTTCCATCCATCGCCATGTAAGTCATCGGCGGCAGGTCAATATCTTGACTCTCAAGCAAAGCGGGACGGGACGTGGGAGTCAATTCTGCGCTGTTCTGCGGGTTTCTAGACTGCAAGATCTCAATATGGAAACTGTCAGAGTCTAACTTCGCTCGATCTAGCATTTGAGTGTGAATCGTGTCATTACAGGATATCAACCATTCATTGCCGAAACTCGCATGTCTGCCCTAAACTCATCCAAGGACGAATCATGCAGGATCCCTCGCGGGCGAGACTTAAATGCGCAACACACATAAAATGCATACACCACATCGTTCTGCTAGCATGACATCCATTCGTTGCCATACATCCCAGCCCATCACATCCTTGTTGGTACAACCTTGCTCTCAAAAAGATCCATTGAAAGCAAAGGTCGAGAAAGTCCCAACCCTAAAACATGCATCTCCATTAAGCTTCTTGGTCTCTCCCCACCCATTCCTCGGCCCAGCCCTGTATGAACCTTGAACGAGTCCTCGAGATGACTACATCTTAACGTGAGACTAGTGAACGACAATCCTGTCCCGTCCAGACTCGTGGCAATAGATCGCTGCCTCCACTCGGGGCACTGTGAGTGATTATGCTTCGCGAATGTGATGCTGCATTGTCGCGAGTTCTTATCACACAGACAATCGACGTTCTTTTCCTTGAGAGGACATCATTCATTTGGGCGCTATCCCCGACTAACTATCTGAAGATACAGTTTCACTTTCGACGGTCTTCGGTAGTATAACCAGTTGGATGTTATCTCAGATATGAGAAGAAGTGATTTATTCAATCACGCGCAAAACCTCTTGTTAAAAACGACTTGTGTTGTCAACAAATTACAGCCAGTAGCGGGCCTTCCTGTGCATGACCCTTGTCCATATATGCATTGACAAGAAACGTGTGATTTTCGACTCGAGTTACTATTTGAGTTTATTGGCATGTCTAAGCCCTCTTTCGTTCCATATGTTTATTCATAGCTTGAAAACTATTGGTATTCGTGGCTCACAGTTATTTTAGTCTCGTCGTTTCCCGTTTTGTTTCAAAGAGAAACCGCCAATATGAGAACCAGGTGCTACTAATGAAGCACATGCTGGTGGGTATCATAATCGAAAAGCCCGTTCGCCAAGTCTGGACAGCTCGGCTTTTGTGCACCAACCAACTCGTAGGATGCCCTGCTCGGAAGGCATCACAACTCTCCATCATCTCTAGTTCGATTCCAACCAATGCATATGTGTTGGTGCTTCATTCAGACCACAAGCAGTCATCTGCCCCTCCCTCTACCCCTGCCCCGTCCACGACCGCCACGACCTCCACGTCCACCTCCTCTAGGCTTGGACCCTTGTGGCCCGTTACTAGCATGCGACCTTCCGGGTCCCTGAGAGCCGTGGTGAGATGGCGGGGGAGGGACATTCCTATAGTCTTGGGTAGGAGGCTTTCTAGGTAGCGATGAAAATTGCCCAGGCGGAGCACCGGGTGGAGGCGGGTGTCCAAAGGAACCTCGCATGGGCGGTAGTCCGGGAGGCGGTCCAGGAGGGAGAGGGGGTTGGACTGGCACGCCATTCTGTCTGCTGTTTCGTCCCGACCCTCCATTTTGCATGTTTGGCATCTGGATGTTACTGGCCATTCGAATTTGGCCTATCGCTGGCTTCTGAACGCGTTTGTGGCCTAGAAACTCCACTTCCGAGTCGTCGCTCTCTGAGTAGTGAATGTTGGTCGTTCGCGCAGCGTGACCGCGAATCTTAAGGTCGGGGGCTCTGGTGGTCCTGACATTTTGCTGCCCTCCCGCCTCCCCTTCGATCGGCACTGAGCCACAATCCGGGTCAATATATTGATCGCGGTTCTTCACAGACCATGTAGGATTAGAGACGGCATTGTGGCGCGCATTGCAGTCCGAAGAAAAGTGCCTATCACTACCGCACACAGCGCACGATGCAGGAATAAACGCAACTTTTCTGACTGTAGATACATCCGGGTAGAACGAGCGCCACACCTGTGTGCACTGCTCCTCAAGGTGATTCATTGAGCTGCAAAAGACACATGCAAGGCCTTCTTCCTTGGTCAAAGCCAGTTTCTCAGTGCATTGCCCTGCTTGGTGGCCAAGTTGGCGGCATTTGTTGCATCGTTCCTTTCCAGGGCAACAGATTCTTGAGTGTTCCAAACTCCCACATGATGAGCAGATAAGGGATGGGCAGCTAGGTGCCAGATGTGTATTCAGCCCACAGAGAAGACACATCCGGGCAGGATCCATGGCCGACGGGAAGTATCTGCGCTGTTGTTCTAATGCATTATCACCGGTGGGAACATTCCGGTGAGTGTTAATCGGTGGTAAGCTCTGAGGATCTGAAACTTTGGATGTTGAGTTGCAATTTGCAGGTATCCTCATGCCTGATGCGTACTCTTCTCTGCCATCTTCCCCAGTCCTCTCATTCTTGTTTAAGGTTGGCTCGTACTCAGCTTCGCTTTCGGAGCCATCCTCGTCCCTTTCGTCAATTTCTCCCTCGCTCACGCTAGAAGCGCGTGAGGTTTTACTTTTCTTGACAGGTTCCTGTCCGGCTTGCCTTGTCACCCAGCTGTCGAGAGTTGGCTGATTAGGCCCACAGCCACCCAAAGAATGGAGATTTCCAATAAGAGCTTGAAGTTCGCCAGTGCTTTCAAGCTCCTTTGCAACTTGCTTTGCGTTCTTTCTCTTCTTGGGCTTCAAGCCAGCGTGGTGGTCAATATAGTAGCCATAAGCAGAGTAAGTTAATGATGAGGTAATGGCATCACATGTTCCTGGATTTTGGGCATGGAATGCCTTGACCCAGTCCTTAAACCTTTTAAGCCAGGAGCCGCCTTTCTTATCCATGAGGTTGGGGATTTTGAAGCTGGCACTACCTTGCCTGTAGTCAGGGATTTCGCCAGAATCTTCGGGTGCGGAGTCACCTGATGTGATTGACCGCGCTGAGGACTTGCCAACGGCTGTCGACTCCTCTGTAGGCTTCAGTCCTTTTACAGATTGCTCCTCGATTCTGGGGGCTTTGGCCGCACGAGCATGACTCCTCAAGCGCTTGGGCTCAGGAGTTGAATCATCCTCGAGAGGCCTCTTCTTGGCAGCTGCCGCTGCTTCGTCTCCACTGGACAAGTAAATGACCTCACCTGGGTCAAATTCTTCATCTGCCATGCCGATGCGCAACAAAGTTCAGCGCGACACTTATGCGGTACCGGCAGTCTTTGTCGAAGCTGAGAGGCGTTCCAGCTTGAACGTAGTATCGGGTCTGAATCTGTGTGTTTCGGACCTTGGCGCATCCGACTTAACGTGAAACTCAACCTCAAGCAAATTTCTCAGGGCCACTTGGCTTGCTCGAAATTGTTCGTGACTATCCTGCTCATAGAAACTTAATCAACACTGCTCGCCGATGAGCATGGGGAGCACGCATAGGTAAATCCGTATTAAAAAAAACCCTAGCCATAAGGTGGCGCGATGATCGATCATACGCAGCCTCCCATTTGGCTTGATGAAAGCTAGGGGCTTTCAACGAATGCAACTATGAACGAACGTACCTCGGCGCGTCACGAGTGAGAAATCACTTCCGAAAGGGGTTTGCCAGCAACAAAAAATCCAATGTGCACGGCTTCTGCAACTTGTGATAGTATCGTTCGTGACTGAGACTTCAAGCGTTGCAAAGGCAAGGTGCAAAGAGGCTATTTGACAGTGTCAGGGAGATGTGAAATGAAAGCTGTGATGATATCGATAGGCCTACTATGTTAAGTTAGATCCTAGTTGGGAGAAAATTCCGCAGCCAGCCTATGGGAGATACAGGCCCACAGGCGAAAGATGCCTCACTCTCAAGTTCCGTGGCTATTTTCAAACTCCGAGGATTATCCAAACCTCCAGGGTAACCACTCGGACATGACTAACCTTCGGTTATCAGTTGAATTACATAGTACCATGAACGCCTGGATGTTCTGAGAGACGTTCGATAACAGCCGATTTCCAAAGATGCACACACATCGATCGAGAGATCGTGGGTCTTTGTCAGCTGTCTTACCTCCTGCTTCGTGATCATACTTGTAGTTTCTTATGGCGCCGAGGACCATCAGTCGGTCAGAGTACATCCCATGCCAGCGTCACGTTTTCTGCAACATTGAAATATCATTCCACAAGCCAGCCCCGGATAATCAATAGTGATTCTTCTTCATCTCGGGTAAGACATGTGCTATATATTGCACTGCAATCTCGCTGGTGAATCTGATACCCATGGGGCTTTGCCAGATCTCGCTTATACTGCATCGTTTTACAGTTCACGAGAGAAATAAGGGATTTTACTGGCAAACCTCGCAAATGATGTAACTGTAATACTAAATCACTAAGAAACAACACTCTTGATACCAGTTATTAATGTCCTATTGTTTTTCTTCTTCTTCTTCTTTTTTTCCTTTTCTTTCTTAAAGCACCTACAGTGCTCTGGACGAAATGTCATCACACGTCGTATTGACATGCAAATCCCCTGAAGAAAACCCGCGGGTTCCTAGGCCCGAACGTTTTATTGGAGGTCCTGAATAAAAAAAGCCCCGGACTAACCATGCTCCAGTGAACTACTGCTGCAAGCTCACCTACTACGACCACTAATTTCAGCATCGGCTCCACTGTTCCGCCTAACCCGACCAACCCCTCGGGGGGCAAGAAAACAGCGAACTTTACTGTAGGGTATCAAAATAAACTTAGCAAAATGCAGCCTAAACCTACGCTACATTACCCTGAGTCTTTTTGTCATCTAGGATCGAGGCACTGTGTTTTCTTTCCTCCCCTAGCTACCCTGTGAAGTAGCCCCGTCCCTCGTTCTGGTTGCATTGCGTGTCCCTTTCTCTTGCTGGCTGATAGGCTGTTGCTCCTTTCTATCTCATGAGAGTGGCTCCTCCTACCTTGTCCACCATCATACGGGGGACATTGAATATTCCGGTTCGGCGGCCCCTCTCATCTCGTCCAGTCCTTCCATATCCATTCCCTTGATCCAATAATTCTACTGTCTGCTATTGTCAACTGTTCTGTTCTGCGCGTTACATCTTCTTACTTGGCTCTATTATCCTGTTTGGCCGACTACATCCGTTCTCGTTATCTCCAGCATCAATCATACACAGCTGCTCTCTTTTGCCCTTGCATTGGCCTCCCATCTGCCTCCGAACGCCTTCGCCGTGACATCATTAGGGGGAGCATCTACAGTTACTCATCTCTGAACTCAAACCGATCAATCTTTTATCGACGACGCAAACTCTGGGTGTTTGCACCTGTACTGTTCTTCGCCGATTCCCCCCTCCCACTCGACTTACGCTTTCTGCAAATTGACCCGTCAATACCGCCAAGCTGTCTTCCCCAATCTTACTCCAGCGCACCGTCTCCTACGACGCGGCGAACAAGCCTCCGCGCCGAGGCAGCATCTATCTCAACATGCCCGAACGAAACGCAACGGGAGGAGCTGGAGCCCGAAGGAGGAGATCTAGCAGTATCCTCCAAGTTTACCATGAGCCTCCCGAGACTCTCGAGCAGATCAGCGACCAAGCTTCCCTGCCTAACCTCAACGCCAACTGGACAAATGCTAAAGGTATGCCTAGCCCATTTTGCCGCCCATCTGTATCTTCACTTGCACAATAATCCCGAGAGCCATGCTAACGTGTAGTGCCCCTTAGGTGCCTGGACCATTCATTTCGTCCTGATCGTGTGCGCCAAAATCATATTCGACGCCATCCCTGGTGTTTCACAGGAGACTTCATGGACGCTTGTCAACATGTCATACATGTTTGGCTCCTACATCATGTTCCACCATGTTCGTGGCGTTCCCTTCGATTTCAACAGTGGCGCTTTTGACAATCTCAACATGTGGGAGCAAATTGACAATGGCGCGCAGTACACGCCCACCAAGAAGTTTCTTCTTGGTGTTCCGATTGCACTGTTTCTCGTCAGCACCCATTATACGCATTACGACTTGACATACTTTACTATTAACTTATTGGCTGTCCTGGGAGTCGTCATCCCCAAGCTACCCTTCGTATGTTGCTATGCCACCCCCTCTATTTGTTTGCAACCCTGCGTCTATGACATGTGCTCTTCGTTTTGTTTACACAACATACTTTCTCGTTGGCGTCATATGCTAACACAAGCACAGAGCCACCGAATGCGATTTGGGTTGTTCTCAGGTCTACCAGAGGAATAGGAGACCGAATAGGGAGCAGAAACAGAAGCAGAATAACTACCGTGGGACCGATTTGCTGTATTAGTTTCAGGGGCATTAGGGTAAGATTATCTTTGGCGAGAAAGAGAATTGGGGGATTGCAAAAATCAACAAGAGGTCGAGATTGTGCAAGTTGATAGCGAGCAGTATTTACAACGCGGCTGGTGGGCGGAGTGTTCGGTCGTTCAGCGGTAGCTTCAAACCAGCAATTGGATTTGGAATCGGCATATTTCTCAACATTTTGCCATCCCTTGTTCCACTCGATGTCCGCTCCTCATCTATTACCCTTCGATTGATCCGCCTCTCACACTGGCAGGATGTCGATCGGCTCCTCCGTGTTGACTGGGAATGCTCACAAATAACAAATCATTGGACTGTTTTCAAGCTAAACGAGTGCTTACCGCCTCATGGAGTCTTGATCGTACGAGGAGACAAGCCCAGAGATGATTCCACGGCGACATGGCGTTCCGTCACCTAGGCAATTGGCTTCTCCTGTCGTATTCCGGAGTCATATTTGCAGTCAAGCAAAAAAGCCCAAGTTCCCCTCTTTGGACAGTCCATTGACAGCATACCAAGTATAAATCAAGGACCTGATCCCGGCTGCTTCCATCTTCCTTGGAGTTCTCCAGCTTCCCTAGTTATTAAAGCATACTCCAAGGAAAGTTCATCGCTCTCCTTTGCGTTTACTTTTTGTTTCGAAACATTGCATTATATCAACATCAAGCATGAGATACAACGCTTTGGCCTTCATGGCCCTCGTCAACGGCCTCGCTCAGGCCAACCGTTTCGACTGGCAGAGCGAGTCCAAGGCTGATGTTGCCAAGCATGAGCACAAGAACGCTGCCGATCCTGTCTTTAAGGTGGAGGTGAACAAGGGTCAACTTGAGGCTGGAAAATTAAAGAAGGAGGGAGAGAAAGCTGAGCAACAGGCCAAGAAGCTGGAGGAGAAGCTGCAGAAGAAAGAGGATGAGCTTGAGCTCAAGGCTGCACAGGCTGGAGGGAACCGCCATCACCACCACAGCCACTCCTCATACTCCCCTGATACTACTTACGATCCTGCCACAAAAACTACTGGATATCATCACCATCACTCAGGCCACCTCCAAAAGGGCCCCTACACGCTTGATGGAGAGAAATACGACTATATCCATAAACCAAAGGTCCACTTCCACACCTCTTACACAACCCACGTACCTACTCTCAGTCCTGGATGTGTCGGTGACAAGTGTTCTCGTAAGCCTTGTAAGGAATGCCATGGCAACTGGGCACAGCCTGGCTGCTGGCACTGCAAAGCCCTTGGAGCCACTGGCGAGGAGGTTGCTGAACAGGTGGCGAAGACCACCAAGCATGCTCCCAAAGAAACCAAGGCCAAAGAGGAGGAGAAGGAGGAGGAGAAAAAGGAGAAGGATCCTCACGCAAAGACATACACGCATGGAGACAAGACTGTCATTGTTCCTAAGGAGACCAAGGCCCCTGAAGCTACTCGGCCTGAAGCTCCCCAGATTGAACAACCTCATAAAGAGGGCCCTAAGGTCATCGTCATCGAGGACCCCAAGAAGAAGCCTGAGGAGAAGAAGTCTGAAGAGGAGAAAGAGGAGAAAGAAAAGTATCACGATGAGAAGCCCAAGCATGAGTACCCCAAGGAGAAGCCCAAGCATGAGCACCCCAAGGAGGAGCCCAAGAAGGAGGACATCTGTGACAAGGTCCATCGCCATGGCCAGCCTAGCATCTGTGACAAGATCAAGCATCAGCACCACAAGGTTGACGAGCCTAAGAAGGAGAACATTTGTTCGAAGCCCAAGGGTTGCCATCCCCATCAGGCTCCCGCTCCCGCTCCCGCTCCTGCTCCTGCTCCTGCTCCTCACCATGAAGTGAAGCCTGCCCCTGCCCCTGCTCCCGTCCCTCACCATGAAGTGAAGCCTGCTCCTGCTCCCGTCCCGGCTCCTCATCACCCCGAGCAGAAGCCTGAGATTCAACCTGTCCCTATCCCTGCTCCAGCTCCCCAACAGCCCGAGCAGAAGCCCGGAGAGGTTCAACCGGCTCCGGCTCCGGCTCCGGTCCCTGCCCCTGCTCAGCCCGAAGGAGCCAAGCCTGAAGAGGGCAAGTACGGCAATGCTCCCTCAGTTCCTGTAACAGTGCCTAAGTCCGGAGCCACCTACAACCGCGTCTCTGTTGGCATCGCCGTCTTTGCAGGTGTTGCCAGCATGATGCTTCTATGAGCTTCAAATCTAGTCTTGTATGAAAGTGCGCTGAACGAAGCACCACTGCAAGGGATACGTTGGAAGCGGTAAGATGGTGTTTTAAAAAAATTGGTGTTATGCCCGCAAGATCTTTGGAACAGGGCCTTTGAGATTATCTTTGGATTCATAGATAACTAGTAGCTTTCAATTGATCGTCCCCTCCTTTTGTTTCACTTCTCTCACATAATGAAGAGAACCACACCCATTGAATGCCCGTTTACCAGCGGGAATTTGGTCGGAGTAAGGATCGGATCGAGAGGCATACCGCCGACCTGATGCTTTGTCATTCCAAGCTGACGTCAATGCCCTTACCTAACAGTGCGGGGCAGGATCTGTTGGAAACTTTGGAGATGGCGACTTATACTACTAGTCTAAGGTAGTTGTGGCATATTCCCCTTAAGGAAAAGCACGATTTTGACCATCTCATCGATAGTAGGAATTATAGAATCTGACATATAATCTTTATTGGGGACATGGCATTCAAATACCATGAACTACCTAGATAATATAAAAGCTGCTAAACCGTTGAGTCATGCTCCTGTTACCTTGGCCTATTTCCTGGTTGGCTGTAGTTTGAAGTCTCGTTGCACTCTGTACATCTGGCAGAAACCCCCTCCTTCGTGGCAGTTTTATCTCCGAGCTACAGTACCGAAGACAAAGGTATAAAACCACGCCTTCAGGCTTCATTTATTTCCTCTGATATACAAGACCTTCGGAAAACCATTCTACCTTCAATCAAGCCGAGATGAAAGACAACAGCATTCCTCTTTATGCATCGCCCCAGCTGGGCCAAAAAGTCACTGACTACGCAGAGCAACACTCGACCTCGTTACCCAAGTACATAAGTGACTACCACGCGAATATCTCTGCCAACAGGGAGGATTCTTACTATATGAGCTCTGTTTTTCAGTCTCAATATAATACCTTTCTTGCAAAATCTATTCGTGCTACAAGGGGTAGGTCAAGATACCTTAACATGGAACTAGATTCCCTGAGGCTTTTGTCATCAGCCAGGAGAGCAATGCTGATCACCGTCCAATAGTTCTAGAAATCGGTGTCTATGTTGGCTTCTCTGCCCTCGTATGGGCTGACGCTGTGGGACCGAGTGGACTTGTGACTGGCTTGGAGTTCGAGCCTGAGTACGCTGAATTATCCAAGAAGGCTTTCGCAGCAAATGGAGTCGATAATGTTGAGATCATCGTCGGCCCTGCTTCTGAGTCGTGAGCCATTCATATTTGTATCATCTTATACCCCAAATTACTGATGCTCGAATAGTTTACCCAAACTCAACCCCACGGAGCCCTATGATCTTGTTTTCATCGACGCAGACAAGACTGGTTATCCGGGATACTTGAAGCAACTTCTCGAGTTGTCGGAGCCTGGTAGCTCGAGCAGAATCCTTCGGCCAGGCGCTCTCATCGTCTCGGATAATGTGCTGCGCCGAGGGTTGGTTGCAGACGACAAAGCGCTGGGTGACGACGAGCTCAAAGGCGATCAATTGAAGAACGTTTCAGCTGTGAGACAGTTCAATGATTTGGCGCTGCAAAGCCCACGACTTGAGACCTTTCTTCTGCCGTTGTGGGATGGCGTCAACGTTTCCCGCCTTCTTGATTAGTGGTAGCACTGTCTCGACTGGAGAACGATCAGGATGGCATATGGTTATATATATTAGGGCTAAATGAATATGAAGACAAAAAAATATGTATAAAAATCGTTCGTGACACATTTTAGGCTGATATCATCTCCGTTGATATTCACACTTCATGAACTCGTATTTGGAAAACCATGTCAGGGCATTGTTATATCCATATGTCGTTATTACGCCCCCTTCCCCTGACTGGCGGCAAGTGATTGACTATGACAACACTACCGAAACGTAAAGTGATTAATTAGTAGCGGGTGGGAGAAGAGTTGTAGGCTGCCATCTTCTTGTTCTCGCGGTTGCGACGACGGCGGCCGGAACAGCAGGTAACGAAGACGGTGATAGTGCCGATGAGACAGAGAATAGCTGCGGCAAGGACGAGCCAGATACCAACAGACCAGCGAGCACTGGCGGAGGTGTCTCGATTGATACGTCGTCTGACAATGGAGAATCCAGCGAAGTCACAAGCCAGGGCAATGATAGTAACAAAGAAGGCCAGGAGTGAAACAAGCGTGGACATGAGGGAGCCAAAGATGCCGGCACCGAGAGCCAGAAGGAAGGCAATGAAGCAAAGTCCAGCACCAATAGGATGCAGGACCATGACATATGTCAAGGCCTTTGCAGTGTCCGAGCCAGCATTGGAGAAGTTGGTGCCGGCTACAGCATTGGAAGGGTCGTAGCCAATGCGAGCGCTTGTGCAACTATCGCTGCGGTATATTAGAAGACGAAATCAGACACGGTGTGTTCAAGTGATATGAACTTACCTTCCACTGCTTCTTGTGACACAATACCCAAAAGTTCCAAAATTCACACCATTTCCTCCCCCAGAGTTGCCGTTCAAGTTGACCTTGAGGAGGGCTATGTCATTGACAACAGGAGCTGTAATGCTCACTACAATGAGCATGACTGTTGCTGCCAAGAGGAAAAAGGCACCGATATGGTGGATGAATCGTCCCAGACCCATTTTGATGGTTATGGTGGTTTGGAAGTAGTGGTAGTGTTGGGCGTCTGCTACTCAAAAATTGCAGGAAATTATGCAGTTATTAAGAGGAAACAAAACCGCTTGCCGATTGGAAGTGATGTGAGACAATACGAAAATAAATGTCAAGAAACCGAGAGAAACAGGCCTAGATATATAGTCACTCGGCCGTATGAGTGTTCCCGTGTCATGGATTCATGGGGCCAATGCCAGGAACCAACATTGTGCAGTGTCGTTACGTGAGACGTCATCACTAAGCCCTGTTCCAGGTCTCGTGTGTGCCGAAATCCGTCATGATCAAAGCCAAGACAGGCTATATTGTGGTATAGCATCCTCGTCGCAAGAAGCCGTCTCTACTACGTAGTGACGTAGAGTTGGTGGCTTTGGCCGAATCGTGGCTCATCTACCGGGGTGTGGGCCGCCCCGAATTTCTTGATTCGGGTGTCTCTTTTGTGTCAATTTAGATGATTTAGATCAATCTTGGCCCTCTGACCCTGCATTTCAGACAAGACTAACCCACCTGGGTCAGATCATACCAAGATCCTTGTTTGGAAGCTCTGCTTGTTTCTTTTCCCAATCAGCGTCACACTTATCTTATTAGTGTGAACTGTAATGTGGTTCAGCAAAGTAGGTGGTGACTACCAGGCATCAATACGAGGAGGAGAAATCGATTGTTAGACTACTCGGTGAACCCCGTTCTGTGTTTAGCTGTCTCTGCATGCACTGAGTGTGTACTTATAGCTGTGTCTGGGTGCATGTGTAATCTTTTCTCCCAGTCGTGCGCTGCATATTGCGATAACTAGTCAAGATCTGCGCTATGCAGAGAAAGAAGCGAATCGTCAACATGGCTGAGTTAATAAGGTGGAGAATCGTAGAAATGTGTTGCGCAAGTGCCGCCTAAGCCTTGGGTAATGAAGCCGAGATTCAAATGTCTTGGTCTTCAGAAGTGATACGCGTCTCTTGCTCATCCACCTTTGAATTTGGTTCCCGGCGGCGCTGCATACGTTTTCGACGCTCCCATTCTCCCACTGCCTGCGATATTGGCGCTCTAGGCGGTGTTTTTATCTTCGTTGGAACCCAATTGCGGGTTTGTACTCTGTCAATCTTTCTGGAATCCATTGTTGGTTCGCGTCCGAAATCAACGGCCCATTGGCTCAAGCCCCTGGCTGCGATACTATTAGGGAGCGACTGTTGCAGAGTTTTTGAAGCAAGAGTCTTATTTTCTGTGACAAAGTCTGGCCAGACACTCGCGAGAAACGAGCTTGAGCTACCCTTATGATTGTATGCGGGAGACTCAGTTATTTCGATGAAAAATTTGGTGTCGTTGGAAGACTGCGAAGGCTGCTTTTCAAAATGTGGTTTTAGCCCGTCTACTTTCACAACGGACCTTGGCTCCTTGCAGGATGAAGGAACAGTAATGTTGACTGGGCTTGAGGAGACGGCTCTGGTGGCAGCTTCACTCTCTTTCATCAGCGATATGAACGCAGAACCTTGACCCTACAGTCAGAATAGTCAGCGAAAACAGCTAGTGTCCGCACAGTTCGAAATCAGACATGCCGGCATGAGTTTGAAGAACTCTACTTGTCCATATTGTTCAAGCGCTCTCAGAACAGAGCGTCTCTCAGCAAAATTTACTGGCGCGGGCGAGACGAAGAGACGTATAGAGCGCTTCCCGATTTCTATATTTTTGAGATGACTCGTAGCTATACGCTCAGCCTTCGCAGCTAATTGGGCTGCTCTGTAGGTTTCCGAGGCAGACATGTTGATGTGGTCCTCAGAGTTGGTGAAGTGAAGAATTCAATGTCAAGGAAATGATCCACTGGGTTGGGCTATCTACATTTCATATTCAATTGTAGCTCGACTTTTCCTCCACTATCGGCTCGGCTTCGGTGGGGCCGGACTCCAACTCAGGTACGGCCAGAGCTCTTCACCTATTGGATCCATTCTTTGTTGCTTTCAACCTGGAGCTCCAAACATTTCGAGCCGAACCAGAGCGACCTGTTATTAATCCCCAGATTCTTGCCACGTCTTGAAGTCATTGCTGAGAGTGTGACTTTCCTGTTGACACGCCGCATTTCACATCCTCCTCACATTAGAGATACAACTCTATTCGCGCCCTCACGAGAGGGCATCATCACTTTCGCGATGGCGACACCAACAGCCGCAAAGCATGCTTCGCAGCAGGGCCGGACCCCCTCGCAACTCGCCGCCGCGACTCCTCCTGTATCAACTCCCTTCTCCAATCCCGCCCATGTTGTCTTTTCGCCCAGGGGGCCACGATCATCCCCTCAACAATTCAAGAAGTCGCCCGCCGCATCAACCTTGATGGCGCACGCCTCCAGCGCTCCTCTCAACTTCGACAGCCCTTCCACAGCTGCCGCAATGGGCGCCCTTGGAATTCCTAGTGGGCTCGATATGGGTCTCGATAATGTCGGTGTTGGTGGACTGGGCTCTTTGGGTGCTCTGGCGAGTGAGGATGATAAGTTGAAGCGGCTGGAAACGATCATAGCCACCTTGGATGTAATCGTATTGTTCCCTATGTGATCGGCCGTGTCGCTAATTCAGTGCAGCAGAAGAAGGGACTTGTGGGCGAAGCAGGATTGGAGCGCCTGGCGCAGCGAATAGGACTTGACTGCCTTTCGGAGGATCATACAGCACCCGACGGCCGAAAGCAAAGAACTCTTGTGATAGCGGGCTCAGCCATTCAGCTGGAAATCACTCTGCACAATAATATCGTTGAGAATATATCCCTGGCCTTCCCGGAATCTGCTCGTTCAGTTACCGACCATGTCACCAGAGCAAGCGAAATTCTCTTGAGGGACTTGCAACTTCTCCCCAACCAGAGCCCACTGACAAAAACTCTTGACAAGTTTGCGGCCAATCTTGAGCGACTAGCCGTCCTTGATAAGCTTAGCATCATTCCTGGTCTCGACTGTCATGAGGCATTGGCTGGTATTTATGTGAGCTTAGAAAGGCTTCACAAATGGGATGTTGGTCGGCTTCGTGATGAACCCGGAATGGGTGGCAAGTCGGACAGTGAACTGTCTACCATGGCGATGTGCACGCGACATGGCTACCCCGTTATGCATTCAAAAGACCGAGTGGGCCTCGCACTCCAGTACTGGAAGGCCCTTCGCCTCGTACAGCCAACCAACATCAAGTTGGCTTCATTCGCGTCTTCTCATGAACCGGTCTGGTCTCTTCTTATTGGGTGTGCTTCAACAGGAGGCATGGGGCACATGCCTGTTCGAGTCTCCGAGGACTGGATCTCTAAGGATGTTGTGAAGGCAGAGCCCTCGATGGACCCTAAGCGTCCTAATCTAGACTGGCAGGAACCTGATAACGTCGTGCTTCCGCACTCAGAAGAAAACAAGGATGCTAGCATGGAGATGCTCCAGCCAGATCTCTCAACCGCCAGGGTGCCACAGGTCATGTTCGTCGCCACATTTGACCCTCCTGTCATCCTGCCCCAGAACGACTGGCTCCGGCTGCACTCATACGCTAATGTTAACGCAAACCCATTGTTTGGGTACTCACCAACTTTTGACAGTCTTTTCTTCCCTATCCCCCCTGGAAGTGCTCAGGACCCTAGCGAGCTCCGGGCAATCTCTCGCAGCCGTGATGTCCGCATTTACAACAAAGATCAGGAAGCTATCGTTAAGCCTCATCAGAACACATTGTATATCTATAAGCAAATATATTCACAAGTGGTGACTGAAATTCCATTCTCTCATCCTCAGCAACTCATCGAAATGCTCCCCCTGCTTCGACAGTATGCTTTTGTCGCAACTTTGCTAGAGAACAGCTTTGGATCACTGACGAACGAAGTTGAGAGATTACCCAAACAAGGAAACAACGCATCGCCGGTGCCGAAATCCAATCTGACTACCAGAGATGAGCTGGCTGAGTTTATGAGCTCAGCTTCTGTGACTGACGATCATGCCTCTGCTGCACCGGAGGTCAAGCTTGACGTTACCCTGTGGGTACATCCGATTCCACACCTTCAAGTTGTCTTCCCATTCCGAGATTCCACTGCCAATATTACCTTAAAGGTACTCGAGGACGGAATTGTGGAAGTCGTCGAGGAGAATGTCATTCCTCGTGGCGATGATAATAGAATGAAGGGCAAAGAACTCACGCGGGCAGATTTGGGAAAGCTGCTAGAATATATGGAAGATCTTTGCAAATGGGCAGAATGGATTCGGACAAGACTTGCATGAGTCGTTGAGACTTGATATAGTGGTTGGACAGGAACTAGGAGTTGAACAATACCCTCTACGTGTCATACAAAGTGGATAGGCGGAGAAAACTGAACGACTTATGCTACCATGATATGACCATACCTTTCCTCATGACACGACAAAAAGCCCGACTTAAATGTTGATAAACATAATAGATCTCAAAGCATAGGCTTAGATTGAGTCATCAGCGATGTAGCCCCTCAGTCCTGCCATTGCATCACGTTGCGACTTCCCTTCCTCCTTAATCTTCTTCACGCGAATTACGCTATCGTCCAGAGTGCGTATGGCACAACTTCCATCGCCTTGATCCCAAACCAGAGTCTCCAGGACAACCCCAGTGTCTTCAAGGAGGCGGACTTTTGCTCCATGGTTCCCGATATCCTTTGAGGATATGGTCTCGACATCTTGGAAAATCAAACGCTTTTTATCACCCTTCTTGTTGACAGCATGAGTCCATACAGACCCAAGAACTCGTATCCTTCGCACAATGTCGTCCCCTGTCCACTGAGTCCATTTTATACGTCCATCAGCCTTTGTGAGCTTGGGCGCGTGTACGAGCTGCTCGTCGCTCAGCTCTTCTGCTCTCCATTCTGTATTCTGGCGAAGCGGCACATAGACTCCATCTCGCAGACCTTGAATTAACATTTGCGCCCCAATTGGTGCTAGGAGGCTCGTCAGTTCTTGGACGGTACAGTCTGGAGGTATCGATATTCCAGGACGAGAGGTTTGAGACAGGATAGTTCCATGATCGAAGATTCTGTGGTCTAGTGTTTGCAATGAGATTCCCGTGTAGTCATATCCTTGGAGAATCGCATGGTGGATCGGAGCAGGCCCACGAAGACTACTTTTGTTTAGGTATCTGGCGGAAGCATGCGTCATGAGACTTACTCAGGTAGCAGAGAAGGATGCACGTTGAGTCCACCGTATTTGGCCGAAGTTAAGATCCTGGGCGGGACGAACAGTCCGAAGGACACTGCTATCACAAGATTTGTTCCTTCAGGGAGCTACTGTTTTTAGCCACAGAGTTCCCAGGAAGTGCTCAGCAGGAAGCACGCAAACTTACATCCCATCCTGTGAAGGTTTTGCGCTGGTGAATATTCAATCTCAAGTTTTCTGCAAGTAACTTACAAGGTACTAAATCGGTATATAAGTTCAACATCGTGGTTTTCTCATAGATTTGACATACCTTCTCTCAGTGTTTTGAAACCTCTTCCCATGCGTCGTGGTGGCAAAACCATAACATCCAACGACTCTACAAGGTTCTTATTGTGACGATGCTCTTCGTGGAGAGCTTTCAGAGATGCGCAACTGAACTCATCGGATCCGCAGAAGAGAATGCGCAGCGGGTCTGGGGACTTTCGAGTCACACTTTGCGAGAAGAGCCGTCGCCATTGAGGAAATCGCACATCGAGCAATGATCTAGATTTGGAACCGGTAAATAGAATCATGCTCTCGGTTTAGTATTAGTATTGAGCCACTTGGATCTGTTAGTAATTGGTCGGCGTATCAACGCAGGTTGGTAGCCTGAAGTGACAATAAAACAATCGCGTTTGTTGCATCTCCGCTTATTTGCATTGACATTTTCGTGAAGGAAGACCTAACTATCTCACTCGCTTGAACCGAGCAGAGCATGAGAACGGTTCAGAGGGAACTTGACACCATCCAAAAACCTTGCCATAAAACCTGGCAATTGCATCAAATTATTTTTGTGTTTGCTCTGTTCTTCATTCGTTCAGTTTGCCAAAATAGACTGTTATGGCGCAAAGCCAACGCCCATATAAAGGTGTTTGCTGTAAACGGGCACTTTTGGAAGCGAGCAAAGAACTGATGAACTATTATGTATTTGAGAACTAAATAGGTAGCAGGCAGGAGCAGGAAGAACCTGGGACTGTTAGGTGATTGTGAACTGCGAACGAAAACTCAAAACTGTCCCAAAGTGATGCACGTGGTTCATAGGCTAGATATTGAGTCTTATTGCTATCTTCACCCGCATGTAAACATATTTATCTGGCTAGCAATTCAATATACAAGTATAGGGTTGACAGTACAACTGCATTGTTATGAAGAATGATACTTGTCGAAGCGATGTTTAGGTAGCCCCTGGCGATGGCAAAGAATAGTCAAGTCTTATATCCAGCAACTGTGTTCAGACAGTGGATAGCATGGTTTATTTTGATTTGTTTAAAAGAGATCATCCACGGCCTTGTCAGCATCTTTTTGGATCAATTCGACCATGCCCTAGAGTAGACTGTTAGGTTCTGATGAGTATGGTTAAGCGGGTCCACAAACCTTGGGCATGATAGGCTTGCCGTCTTCACCTTGTACATATCGAAAGGGCATCTCAGTGCTCTCGTGTTCGTTGAATTTGAGCTCAGGGAAGTCCAGATAGGGCACCTGATCAAGTGGCACTGGTGTTTATCATAAGCTTCCGAGCTACAGGGGCCCAATAGGCGGATAACGAACCCTTGTCTTGAACAACAATACGAGTAACCCGGACGGCCGTATCTGTTGTCATCTGCTTGGGGCCGAGTCTGCGACCTTCAAAGCCCTTCTTTCGAAGCTCTGAAGTACGGTCTAAGATCTCTGGTCAAAATGCATCAAAAGACAATATGTTGTGAGAGCCACAAACCTCGGGGAGGGTCGTCGCCTGTCACACAAACATGAAACGTTAGTAACAGTACGCCTGCCGTTCATCATGCTTTTTACGTACCGAGAATGCCTCCAAACAAGAAGGCATCAAAGTTCTCACCATCCTCAGGAGAGAGATCCTTGGCGGCTGATGGATCTAGCAGGCAAACTCGCGACTTGTTGGCGGCGTAGAGTTCCTCAACACCACGCTGCTCGGCAGTGAAGGCGGGGTTGCTGGCCAGGTCTGTTGGAACCTGGAACGCAGAAGGCAAACTGGAGAGGATGAAAGAACCATGAGTCGCTTGTGTCTCGCGTGCAATGGCCAGATATTCGAGTTCGGACCAAGGGCCTAGCTCTGGGTCGAGATGCTCAACAATAAAAGTCTTCCCAGAGGCTGCCATTTCTTCTTTGTTCTCTGGCGAGGGGGCAATTCTGAGCAAAGGTCAGTGGCGCGTACACTAGGCAAATGATGGTGGTAAATACTAAAAGCTTAGGCTATTGATTGATGTTTTCTGATATTGATTGACGTTCAGAGTTGCACCTTGAATATGAGACTTTACAAAAGTGAATGTGGTGGAGAATCTGATTGGTTTAGTTGGAGAGGGTTTTGAAACTCACTACCTAAGGGACCTTATCCATCTGTCTACTAGCTTGAAAGTTAGTTCATAGATAGCCTGAAGCAATAGTGATCATCTGTATTCTGTAGATGCACCAAGATTTTTAATCCATTCCTCTCGCCTTTCCAATATTGAATATCGCTACTTCTTATTGATTTCGAACTTGACCATAAATGTGGAAGAATGTCGGGAAATAAAAACAACAGAATGAGCCAGTGGTGATCGATCATTGGAGGGCATGCAGTTGATTTACTGATAATGCATACCGTTTTACTGACGTTAGTACCGTGTCACTTTATTGGTGCTGTTATGTCCGACGTCCACGAAGCTATTTCTTATTGACTACCAGTAGGAGCAAAGTTGACAGCGCCACGATATTAAAAGACAAGCATGAACACGCCGACCAACACGAACCGGCATAAAGAAGTTGAAAGCTATGTATCATGGATTGCGTCGGAGTAAAACAAAATAAAAAGAAGAAGAAGAAAATGCGTGGTACCTATGGATGCCAAAGGAGTAGGTAGTCCAAATTAGAGGCAAATGCCCAGTGGACCCTTGCCCGGAGGAATTAACTCCCTACCTTATCCACCTGCAACCAGAATTAATGCGCCAAGCCACAGCTGCGACCAGCGACAGTACGGAAGCTACAGCATCGCCCCCACTAGAGCCCGTCCCGGGGTCCCGAGGGGCCACCTCATCTCTCCTGGACTAACGAAGGTCCTAAGTACTGGCTGGATTGTCCCTTTATCAACCAAGGCACCTTCATTCCAACGACAACTCTTATTGCTTTCCATGTCGTCGACGAGGAGGGCCTCCAATTCTTTGTCTTTTTAATCTTCACATTCCGTCGTCTTATAAGTAACCGCCCTTCCTTTCTGTGTTCTTTTAACATTACCCGCGGCGTCCTGCGTCCGCAACTTCATCATGGTTCTCAAATTCATGATTCCGTCCCCGAGACGATGGGCCGCCCTGGTCTCCTTCTGCCTCGCACCAACTCTAGCCATCGCCGTAGGCGATGCGACCGCAACAAAAGCTGCAGCTGCCGACTACTATGTTCGCGACCTTCCGGGGTTACCTACCGATGGGCCCGATGTCAAGATGCACGCTGGGTTAGACAAACTGTTTCCTCCCTTTGCTCCAGGCTTACTGACGCATCCGCGTGCCTTTTAGTCATATCGAAGTCACCCCAGATACGCATGGGAACTTGTTCTTTTGGCATTTTGAGAATCAACATATCGCCGATAGACAACGGACTGTTATTTGGATCAATGGTGGACCAGGCTGCAGTTCAGAAGATGGCTCCATGATGGAAATTGGCCCCTATCGGCTCAAGGATCAAGACCATCTGGTCTACAACAATGGCTCGTGGAACGAATTCGCCAACCTGCTCTTCGTCGATAACCCTGTAGGCACCGGCTTCAGCTCGGTCGACACCAATAACTATATACACGAACTTAAGGAAATGGCGGATCAATTTGTCAAATTCCTTGAGAAGTGGTTCGCTCTCTTTCCCCAGTACGATCGCGATGATGTGAGCAACCTCTTCCTTTTGAGCTTTTCAATTTGCTAAGAACAACGCAGATATACATCGCAGGCGAGTCCTACGCCGGACAGCATATCCCATACATCGCCAGGGCTATCCTCGATCGCAATATGAAGAATCCTGCAACCGCATGGAACCTGAAAGGACTATTGATCGGCAATGGATGGATCGACCCAATCGAACAGTATCCGGCTTACATTACATTTGCCATTCAGAAGGGTCTGATCAAGAAGGACTCCGACGAGCACAAGCAACTGCAAGGCGACCTGCGCAATTGTCAAAGAATGATGGCCTCGGATGTTGGCCATGTTGACTACGGCGAATGCGAAGCTATCTTGTCAAACATGCTCAGACTGACCAAGAACGGTGACGGCGATAATGCATGCGTCAACATGTATGATGTACGACTGAAAGATTCATACCCTAGCTGTGGCATGAACTGGCCTCCGGATCTGGTGCACCTAACTCCTTACCTGAGAAAGCCGGAGGTTACGAAAGCCCTTCATGTCGATGGTATTAAGAAATCTGTCGGTTGGACCGAGTGTAACGGTGCTGTTGGAGGTGCCTTCAACGCAAGGAAGTCTAAACCTTCGGTTGATCTCCTGCCCGCTCTCCTTAAGGAAGTCCCTATCATGCTCTTCTCTGGAGCTGAAGATCTCATTTGCAACCACATTGGAACCGAAAACATGATTAGCAAGATGGAGTGGAATGGTGGGAAGGGTTTCGAAGTAACACCAGGTAACTGGGCCCCGCGGCGTGACTGGACTTTTGAGGACGAGACAGCTGGTTTCTGGCAAGAGGCCCGGAACTTGACATATGTTCTTGTCTATAACTCTTCCCACATGGTTCCTTTTGACCTTCCACGACGAAGCCGAGATATGCTGGATCGCTTCATGGGCGTTGATATCAGCAGAGTGGGTGGCGACCCTGCTGACAGTCGCATTGATGGCGAGAAGGGGCCAAAGACTAGCGTTGGCGATGCCAAGAACAGTACTAAGACCGCCGACGAGGAACACCAAAAGCAGTTGGACGAGGCCAAGTGGGCAGCATACTACAAGTCTGGCGAAATTGTTCTCGTCATCGTCATCATTGGTGTCATCGTTTGGGGATACTGGATCTGGCGTGAACGTCGCAGGGGTGCTGCCTATTCTGCTTTGGCTGATCATGATCTTTCCAGCCGATCCAACGGCCACCGAGCCAAGTCGCAGCCTGGTGATCTTGAGTCGGCGGCTTTTGATGAAAGCGAACTGGACGATTTGCATGTAACAACACCGGGAACTAGCAACAGTGCTAGGTTTCCAGCGAATCATGACAGTAGCGAAAAGTTTGTCACCAAGTACGTCGAATAATGGAAAGCCAAAGTCATGAATGGGCCTCGTTTCCACCTGGATAAGGTTCTTTTGGTTGTATAATTTAGCTGGCGCCCTGGTTCTTTTGCATAAAGTGGTTGGTTCTGTCACAATTGGGAGGTCTGGCGTTTTCCGCATTCATATCGCGAATCGAATCAATTTTGTCATCATCTAAGTTGGTAATCCTACGCCGACAAACTCCTATCTAGATCTGAGCCCTCCCGTGAAACCTTGCCCCGAGATCCTCGTGTGACTTGTAGCCTGTGCATCGTGCTCCGTGTTCCAAAACAAACAATCCACCTATCAAGTAA